AATGGTGGTTCGTGGCTTGTTTCGTATTTGTCATTCTCTTAACGCCCTTTTTCGGTTAAGTTTCATCGCGGTTTTCGGCTCTAACTCCCAACCTACACGGTAATTAAATTCTGTCTTTGTCACAGCTCCTATTTATGATGGGAAGTATGACCGTTTAAATTTTTGGCTTGTCATTCTCTGCAGAATTTGGTGGAGGAAAGTATTTGGCCAATGCTTGCTAAAGAAAGTTTGAAGGCTTTACGTGGACTTGGTTTGCTTTCTCTGGGAGGAAAATACCTTCTTCGGAGAGTTTTTGAGGTTTGCATTAAGTTATCTAAACTAGAAAATCTCCAAAGTCATGTCGTCATATGATATGCACATACTAAATCAAATATATGAATCCCAGGTGGTTGCAGAAGCGAGGAGCTCAGAAGCTTTTGTTGCTCTCTGCCTACTGACAGTTGCTGGGACTTCACTCCTAACCTAGAAGTTGGGTTTCAGTGACACGGTGTGATATGTATTTCTCAAAGATGGAGAATACCTGATATTGATGCTGTTCAAATTTATTAGTTTATGTAATTTGTGATTTTTGCGTTCACTGTGCAGCTTGGAACATTTTTGGCTGGGGCATTATTAGCAGAAACAAATTTCCGAACACAGATTGAAGCTGACATAAGGCCATTTAGGGGCTTGCTGCTTGGGTTATTTTTTGTTACTACTGGCACTTCCATTGACATGCAGGTAGTTCCATGCTTTTATCCCATATGTTGTGTTTTAATTATGGTGCACTGTTTCATATTCATTCCTTGGGTACAAGGTTAGGGTGATGATTTCGTAGAGTGAGGTTTTGGAGATGAAATGTCAACTGTTTGGAGGGTGTTAGCAGTCACATATGAAAAATAATTCAGTTGTTTCTTGTGGAAAAGAAATTTTTGGGAATTTTACCTAAATTCCTTAGATGTCATCAGTCATAATGTAAAATGAAGGAATTTAGGGTTGAGATTTAGGAGGAAGAAGAAGAAGAAGTTTTATATATTGAAATAAGCATTAACCTCAACTTTACATCAGTCAAATATATATACAAAACCCTAACATGGCAATATGACCATCGTACCCTCAACTTAGGTAAATATTAACAATAGAACAAAAGAACAAAATTTAACTTCCCAACCAAAGATGGGAATCATTTATCTACTTAACCTATCCTTTGATATTTTTGTACTCGGAACTGCTTTTACTCATATATGCTCTTTCTGATTTGCAAAACTTTACGACAGACGGAACTACCGTATGGATGTCACGGTCACCTTCCCCATCATAAATACGAGCTGTGACAACAGACGGAATTTAATAAGCCCGTGTAGGTTGGGAGTTAGAGCCGAAAACGCGTTAAACTTAATCGAAAAAGGGCGTTAAAGGGGCGAAAATACGAAACAGCCCCCGAACTACCGTATGGATGTCACGGTCATCTTCCCCATCATAAATAGGAGCTGTGACAATAGACAGAATTTAATTAGCCCGTGTAGGTTGGGAGTTAGAGCCGAAAACGCGATAAACTTAACCGAAAAAGGGCGTTAAGAGAATGACAATACGAAACAGCCACTGAACCACCATTCGGATGTCACGGCCACCTTCCCCATGATAAATAGGACCTATGACAATAGACGGATTGTAATTAGCATGTGTAGGTTGGGAGTTAGAGCCGAAAATGCCTTAAACTTAACCGAAAATTGGCGTTAAAGGGGCGAAACTACGAAACAGCCCCCGAACCACGTTGTGGATGTCACGACTACATTGCCTGTGACAAATAGGACCTGTGACAACAGACGAAATGTAATTAGCACGAGTAGGTTGGGAGTTAGAGCTGAAAATGCATTAAACTTAATCGAAAAATGGCGTTAAGGGTGCGAAAAAGCAAAAAGGGCGTTAAGAGTGCAAAAAAGCTAATTGATAAACTCACTTTGTTGCTGTATAATTGATATTGTGTGTTATATCCTCATAAATCATTATTTGCCTATTTTAGTTGAAATAACAATATATTAAGCTGAAAGGAATCATTGACTGATTTTTATTAATATAGTCTTGCTATATCAATTGGTACATTCGTTGTGTTATTCATCTAAATTCATTTGAGTTAGTTATCTAATTTTTTCCTTCTCCATAAGCTAAATTACTTGTTAAATAAATTGAACCATATTCTGTTTAAACAAACATCATGCTCTGCATTTTTTATTACTTACCTCACTGGTTTTTGTTGCAGATTGATAATGTTGGCATGGATACAGTGATGTTTTTGGGCCAGATTGATGATGTTTGCATGGGCGCAATTTACATTATATTTTTTGTTTATGGAAAACATGTACAGCTGATATGTGTAACACGCGCCCGCATGGGCCTCATGCTACAGTTCGGACTCGATTTGTGTCACGATTCTTAATCTGAACCAAAGAGTCCAAATCTGGCAAATCGTTTTGAGAAACAGATTTTTGAAAAAGTAGTGCCAAACATGGACTGCTTTGCCAGATACAGAGTCGCCACCTAAATATTTTAAAATG